TCCTGTTTGAGATGCAGACTTACTGGGCTCAGATCTTCTTGCTGCCTAAGAAGATTATTAATATGGTGACTAGTATATGTAGAACATTTTTATGGACAGGTACAAACGAAGTGTCTAGAAAAGCTCTAGTTGCTTGGGAGAAACTATGCATGCCTAGAGTAGCTGGAGGCCTGAACATACTAGACTTCTACAGATGGAATAAGTCAGCAATTTGCAAACTGTTGTGGGCTGTCAACCAGAAGAAAGACAGTCTATGGGTGAAATGGATTCACTATTTTTACATAAAGTAGAAGACTATATCAGATTGTCCTATTTCTAAACAAGCCTGCTGGCTAGTTAGGAAAATATTGGAGGCAAGAAACTGGTTAAAGAACTATGGGAATCTTGTAACAATCCTAAGAAGCTTTGAATCACAAGGAAAGTTCAGCATCAAGAAAGCATACAAATTCTTTACACCACAGTTTCAGAAAGTAGAATGGAAGTAAGCAGTACTGATCCAAAACATTATTCCCAGGCATCAATTTATTCTATGGCTAGCAATACAGAACAGATTGGCTACTGTGGACAGGCTAGAGAGATGGGGAATCCAAGTTGACAAAGGGTGTGTACTGTGCTCAACTGGAAGAGATGAAACATTGGAGCATATGTTATTTGAATGTTCTTACTCACAACATATGTGGAGTTCTATATTGGGATGGCTAGGCATACAGAGAAGGATAGGGAACTGGCAGGAGGAAGTGCAATGGGTGGCAAGTAGAGTTAGCACCAGACCATGGACACACATATTGGGATTCCTCTTTGCAGCTACAGTCTATCGTATATGGGGTGAAAGAAATGCTAGAAGGTTTCAATTGAAGAAGCAAGAAGTCAGACATAGAACAAGAGATATAGCTATACAGTTACATATTAAAGGTCAAAATAATTGTAAATGGAAAAGTGCATTAGATAGGATGAATTGGTACCCAGTCTAGGCAAGTATAGAAATGTTTGTAAATATCTGAGAAACTGACTCAATAGTCCAAATGAGTTAGATGCATGTAAAGTCATTACTTGGTGAAATAAAAATTTTATTTTAACCAAAAAAATAAATAAATTAATAATCAAGAAATATGAAGTAGGAATGAAAAAGGACAAGTGATCAAACCAATTTTACTTGACAGTGGTGACCTCGAGACGGGCTAAGAGCAATAAAGTAAGAAAAGTAAAGTAAGAACAATAGAGCTAAAGGACAATGCTGATGAACAGTAGGCAAAAAGGTTGAGAGTATATTCTTTTCTAAGTAAAAGATGATCCTACAAATGATTGGGGTCCCCTTTATATAATAGGGGAACCCTAAATAAGGAATATTTCTATTTACAGTAGGGAATATTCTTGGTACAACTGTCTGACCGCCTAGTACGGAATCGTACAATCCTATTATGCGATTTGCGCCATGACTTTGGGGACGTGGCAGGAATCTAGCTTGCTCTGGTACAAATCCATAACGGTACTATTTCGGGGTCGGGCATACTCGGGCCTGGTATTCCTCATACTCTTATCTCCGGGAATTGCGCTTTGTCCTCGAGCTTGATTTTGGTCCACTGGTCTCGAATCTCGACCTCACCCGAACTCGGGCCCACGACGGACCCTTAAGCCTATAAATCGGAGGCATACGATTTTGACCGTATACAGTCTCCACAGGGGCCACTCCCACCTTGTCCCGAATAACTTCATTCCTAATTCTATCCAACCTAGTATGCCCACACATCCATCTCAACATCCTCATTTCTGCTGCTTTCATCTGGTGGACATGGGAGTTTCTGACTGGCCAACACTCTTTCCCATACAACATAGTCGGTCTAACCACTACCTTGTAGAACATACCTTTAAGTCTCAACGGCACATTCTTAGCACACAAGACGCCAAAAGCGAGCCTCCATTTCACCCACCCTACTCCGATACGGTGTGTGACATCCTCATCTATCTCCCCATCCTTCTGAATTATAGCTCCCAGATACTTGAAACTCTCTCTCCTAGGAATGACTTGTGTATCGAGTCTCACATCCCCGTATGCCTCCTGGGTAACACCGCTGAACTTGCACTCCAAGTATTATGTCTTGGTCCTATCAACTTGAAACCCTTAGACTCCAGAGTATGTCTCCAGACCTCTAGCCTCTCATTAACGCCACCTCGCATCTCATCAATCAGGACTATGTCATCCGTAAATAACAAGCACCAAGGCACCTCCCCTTGAATGTGACGCGTCAAAGAATCCATCGCCAGGGAAAACAAAAATGGGCTAAGTGCTGATCCCTGATGCAACCCCATCTCAACCGAAAAGTAGTCAGAGTGTCCTCCTACTGTCCTAACCTGTGTCTTAGATCCATCATACATGTCCTGAATCACTCTAATATACGCTACAAGCACTCCTCTAGCCTCTAAACATCTCCATAGAACCTCTCTCGGACTTTGTCATAGGCTTTCTCCAGGTCAATGAACACCATATGCAAATCCTTCTTCACCACCCTATAATACTCCACTAATCTCCTCACAATGTGAATGGCCTCAGTAGTCGACCGTCCCGGAATGAAACCAAACTGGTTCTCGAAAATGGACACACACCTCTTCAATCTCCCTTCAATCACCCTTTCCCACACTTTCTTCATGTGGCTTAACAACTTGATACCCCTATAGTTTTTGTAGTTTTGGACATCCCCCTTGTTCTTGTACAATGGGATCATCGTACTCCGCCTCCACTCTTCGGGCATCTTCTTCATCCTAAAAATGACGTTAAATAACCTAGCAAGCCATTCCAAGCCCTTCTTACCCACGCTCTTCCAGAATTCCACCGGGATCTCATCGGGCCCAGTCGCTCTACCCCTACTCATCTTTCACATAACCCCTACAACCTCCCCCACTCGTATGCGTATACAGTACCCAAAATCTTGCTGCCGCTCCGAGTAATCCAAGTCCCCCAGCATAATGCCCCTATCTCCCTCTTCATTCAAGAGTTTATGGAAGTAAGACTTCCATCTCTGCCTAATATGTGCCCCCTCCAATAAACCTCTTCCCCTCCTCATCTTTTATGCATCTCACTTGGTCCAGATCCCGAGCCTTCCGCTCCCTCACCTTCGCTAGCCTGTACAACTTCTTATACTTGCCTTTATCCCCAATTTCTTCGTATAAACGACTAAACTCCACGGTCTTAGCCGCAGTAACCGCCAACTTCGCCTCCTTCCTAGCCTTCTTATACCCCTCCCTGTTAGCACTCTTCTGCTCGTCGTCTATACTCTATACTAGCTTCAAATATGCCGCTTTCTTGGCTTCCACTTTCCCTTGAACCTCTTGACTGGAAGAAGACAATACTTAACTGAATATAAAGTCTCTATAAGGAAGGATACTGTAACTTATGAGACTATGATAATGTACATAAATTCAAGAATCTGAACTTCTCTTTATTTCTCGTTATCAAACACATGTAATTATGGGATCATGCAAAATGAAGGAAATGTTTAGCCTTTACATACCTTATCACAATCTGTAGAATTATCACATTAAACTCGTATTGTTGCACCTTAATTTACACAATGATAACAATACTATCATCAAGTTATGGAGGTACAACTATCGCACAACGAACGACAAGCTTATTGTATAATAAAACAGACAACATCTCCCCAATAATCTTTACTTCCTCCCAGTTCGACATAACACCAACAACAACAAGAACAAAATAATAACAACATGTATACATCATTTTCCAACCTTATATCCATCACAAAATACCACAAAACAGCCCACACACCCAATTAGTTCATACACAAAATGGCAACCCTAGTAGTGTGAAACAACCCAATAATGTAACGACGAACGATCAGCCAACCACCCTTCCATTATGTGGTGTTTTTCCACACCCTTTATCCTCCCAAAATCCATAAAAACAATAGCAAAATAGATAACCTAACAGCAACATGAAACAGCGCACAAAACAATCCCACAAGTTCAACAACTCACAATTGATTTTTCAGTTAACTAAAACACGTTGCGACTTGTCTTTTCTTTCAAATTGAGAAACACAACCAACAATACATAATTAAGCTTATTATCCTATAACACAACCATGAATTCAACTTAAAAATAAGTTTACAACTAGCCAACAACGACGTAACAACAAACATCATGCCACTCTTTTGAAACTCGCTAGGTCTAGTCTTTACGATTGAGTTACAACTCGTACAAGCATAGATAATGGAAGGAGAAGCATAAATACCTTGGACTGAGTAGATCCTAGAAAACCTAGCCCCTTTTCATCCAAAATCACTCCCCCAACGCAGCTACAAGAAGGAGAAAGAGCCGAACATGATATCTTTCGATGGAAGATTGGACTTTGATTGTTATACTTGGAAAGCATGTCTAATTTTCCGTATTTGTGAACGAGATGAACATGATATCTTTTGAGTTATTTACTTTTACTATCATCAGTTTATCATGTGTTGTTATCGATTATTGGTGTTGAACGCTGACTTTCTCCCGAGCTCGTCACTCCTTTCAGCCCGAGGTTAGGTTTGTTACTTATTGAGTACATGGGTCGGTTGTGCTCATACTCTACTCTGTACTTTATGTGCAGATCCAGGTACTTCATGGCACGATGATTGCTAGAGTTTGTACCCATTTCAGCTTGTGGAGACTACGAGATAGCTGCTATATCATTCGCAGACCTTTAAGTTCTCTTTTGTTTATTTTCGTTATCATTGTTCTATCATTCAGACATTATTGTATTGAGGATTGACTCTATATTTTGAGATTCTATATTGCATGTACTCGTTGATACCAGATCATGGGATGGTCGTAGCGACGTTATTGTGGTTATTTCATATGTTTTATGATTACCCAATGTTGAGATTTCTTTAGTTCCATTATTGTGATTATTGCTATTGTTTAATTGTTGGCTTGCCTATCAAGCGGTGTTAGAGCCGTGACGACCCCGATGGGAGTTTGGCCGTGACAATTCTGCGGTGCAAATAACTCTGAACAAACTTTTTTCGCAAGTAAATTAGTTACATTGGTGCTGTTACTCTTACAGCTGTTTCTATACAATTGTCATCTCAAATTAGTGACTGTATCTATGAGACTAAGACTTAAAAATCATAAGAAAAAAGAAATGAAGGAATTGGAGGTGTACTAGTTGTTGGATGCAACCATAGTAAACTTTCAAAGACGATTACCAAAATGGTATACAGTTCTTGCCAAGCTTATCTCCTTTTTTTTATAGCAAAATAAGCTCCATCTGAAGCCTCTCCGCTAGATTCAGAACAAAGGGACTGAAAACTGAAGGTATTTCTTCCTAAGTGTCCTCTGTAAAAACTTTGAATATGTAATCCCGAAAACGCCTTGAGTACGCCTTTGGATCGACAGCTGAGATAGAGTTGGGATCACATTGGATAGATTTGTATGCATGCTCAAGCTTTTTGGTAATGTCATAGTCCTGAAGTATGTCTATGATTCCAAAAAATAATATCACATCATAGAACTCTCCTGTGGGTTCTCCTACTAACTGAAAGTCTAAGTCATTTTTCCTTTCTGTCCGTTCGACTCGTGCGGGCATGTTTATACCCAAACTTATGCTAGCCCACCTGCAACATTCACTCATAAAATCAAAAAAGGAGAATAAACTGGCATCAATTGTAGTTGGCCAAATGGAAGATAAAAACTGTACCCTGCAGGATCAAGATGCAATTGATCCCTATCTGATCGAGACAGACGAGGAACTGATCCATCTTCCAATCCTTCATTATCTGCAAGCAAGGGGAAATGTCCTTGATTGTTCTATAAATGATCCATTACAAAGTTGGAGGAAACATGACAGTTAAAGGATTAAAAGCCCTGAAATTTGCCAAATGACTAATGTTTCATTATGAAAAGCTTAAACAACCAGTGGTGCCTCTATGGTACAAAATACAAAAATGCAAGTGTCATAAAATTAGCACCAACCAGTAGGTGTTCTACAACCAGAAGGAGTTTGGTCTCCGGTGATACTTGCTTCCCTAAAATGAAGACCAACTAAAAGGCTGTAGTCCATCACTCTCTCTTGTTCCAATAGCTCACAGTCCCTATCAACTTGCCTGAAAGTTGAAAAAATCTTAGTGTTCTTTCTTGCAATGCAAAAGAATGAAAATATTAATGTTAAAGAATGAACTAGGATCCTACCTGCGGAATTCTTGAAACCATGTCTTTGGTAACATGAATATAAAGTTAAGGTCAAGGTCTTTCAGAGTTGTGGTTGCATCAATCTCTGATTCTGGCTTATCTGTCATCCGGCCAAATGTTGATCCTTTCAAGTCGAATCGTCTATGAATTGTATAATCAGTGCGGAAGAGATTCCCCATGATAACAAATCGTACCTAAATAGTTAAAAATATAAGAAGTTTTCGTATTGATATATTATGACTAACTTATTTTTTGTGGTGCCTCATGTCACTACCTTCTTCTGTGCCGGTCCGTTCAGCTTAACACAATGCAGGCCGAAATACTTAGTCATAAGGGTGTTCTCAAAAGCACGAACATGATTGAAATAGGCATGCAGCATCCTTAGAAGCACCTAAGAACCATCCATTGATAAGAAAAGTGAAAAGGGATTACTTTTTGGAGAGAAAAGCCATGCTAACCATATTCATATATAGTAGCAGGAGTTAGAAATCTCACTTTCACTTCTGCCTTCTTCATTGTCTTAATCATGTATCTATCATCGTTTGTCAAGTAGAAGAAGCTTCCGCTTTTTCCCGGGGAGCATAGCTCCCGAAGGGCGTCATTGCCACAAATAGACAGCATATAATCAGCTGCATCCACTTTGAATAACATCCTTAAAGCCCTAGTAAATGTAGTCATCCATGAAGACTATAGAGGTATCCAATGTTGTAAACCAAAGAAAGTCATGAACCATGAACTTACCTAAAAACTTTTGGGCAATAGTCTTTCCATCTGAATTCACAAGATGGATGAGGAGGTGTACTTTTGGATCCTTCAGGTGGGAATCTTGTCCAGTACTTCTCCTTGGGATCAAATGCTGAAGACTTGAGATCAAGTGATGGAACAGGTCCTGGCCTTCCTACTGAATGCCTGTCATATAATTTCACATCAGAACCAAAGATAAGACAATAACATAAGTAATATATTGAGCTTTCAAAATTGATGAGAACATACACAAGGAAACATCTAGATTTTTGTATATAGAAAAAATATGAGATAATTTTCTCCTGTTTCAGATAAGGCAAGGCAAGGGCAAGGGCAGCCCGGTACACTAAACTCCCGCTATGCGCGGGGTCCGGGAATGGCCGGACCACAAGGGTCTATTGTACGCAGCCTTACCCTGCATTTTTGCAAGAGGCTATTTCCACAGCTTGAACCCGTGATTTCCTGGTCACATGGCAGCAACATGTTGTAGTTAATGCCATGAAAATGAATACTCCCCCCGTTTCATATTAAATGAGGCACTTTCCTTTTTAGTCTGTTCCAAAACAAATGACACATTTCTAAATTTGGAAATAATTCAACTTTAAACTCTTCATTTTACCCTTTTTGCCCTTAATGAGAAGCTTTTATAGCCACACAAATGGCATGGCCCCACAAACCTTTTACCCCTTAAGCTTTTAAGACCACAAGTTTCAAAAGTATTCTTCTTTTTTCTTAAACTCCGTGCCGAGTCAACAACAACAACAACAACAACCCAGTGTGGTCCCACAAGTAGGGTCTGGGTAGGGTAGGATGTACGCAGCCTTACCCCTACCCTGGAAGGGCAGAGAGACTGTTTCCGATAGACCCTCGGCTAAAGAAGGTGAGAGAAGCCCTGGTAGCAAGTAATAGCAAAACAATAATTAGAAAACTAAATCGGAGATAACAACAGATAATATGAAAGGGGTACGGATAACAAGTAGCATCAAGATAACATATTTAGAAAACTAATTCCAAGGCAGCAGACGAGAATATGAACGAAGTACTGCTAGCAAACTACGGAATTACCAATGGCAAGTAACAACGAAACGAGACATACAAATATAGAAAACTAAGGAAAAAAAGGGTACCGAACTAGCGCTAATACTATCGAGCTAGAGAAGACAAAGGGAGATGCACGACTACGTACTAACCTTCTACCCTAATAATATGAAACGGAGGGAGTATTACTTTCTTTTAGTTATTATGGGCTTTCCCTGTAAAAGAGATATAAGAATTGACAATGTACGAGAAATTAGCACAAATTCACAAATTAAAAGTAAGTACCTGATTCCCAACTGCAAATTGAGCATAAGCTCATAATTTTTATGCCCTTTGGAAATAGTCTCTCCTTGCCTTTTTTCTGACTTAGGAAATCTAATGGGGCTCCCTCTAATATACCCATCATGTTCCTGTGAACCAGCTATGGCATCATCTAAATAAGAAATATTTGGAGGTGTTCCTGCACAATCTGATAAGCGCGTTCGCCCAAATTCCCTATCTACAGGCGCTGCATCTATTCGACCATCTACGGACATCCTCCTTGGCCGAACGTTGTTTTCTGCCGCCTTAGCAGACCTCCAAACTGCCAGCTTTTTCTGAGAAGGCAATATTGAAACCTTCTCATTTGGACAAATGGTACATTCCATCAAATCAGTATAATAAACCTGCTGAGGATCCCAATCAAGGTTTCCTCCTTGTAACAATGATCCAGATGGATAAAATGTCCCATTATGTTCATTTGGTTCTTTACTCCAATTTCCAATGTACAAGCTCCCATCAGCCCATCTAAATGTCCCATTTCCCTTAGGCACTCCATTTTCCCAATTCCCTTCATATACATTCTCATTTGTCCAACACATCTTACCTTTCCCACATATAACACCATTCTTCCATTCACCAACATAAAAATTCCCATTCTTCCATGTATACTTACCATGTCCTTCTTGTAATCCGCGACTCCATTCTCCATCATAACAATCTCCATTCGCGTATTCCTTAACACCATGTCCATGTTTCAAATTCATCACCCAAGAACCTCTAAATGCGTCCCCATTAGGCGCCATATACGTTCCTTCGCCATCCATATATCCACTCTTGAAATTCCCCTCATACATAGCTCCAGAGGGCCAACTAAATGTACCTTTTCCCATCTTTTTGCCTCGAAACCAATCACCTACATACATGCACCCATCAGTCCACCAATATTTGCCGTGTCCATGGGGGAAATTATCGACCCAATAGCCACTATAGTAATCTCCATTAGGAAGGAACCTCTCCGAATGGTAAATTTCTCCACTAGCATGCCCCTCGTTGTCGTTTTCTGGATCTAGTTGATCAATAATCTCTTCCTCAACCTGAGATGGTCCATAGGTACCAAATATTGTGTTGGCTCGTTTCCTCGCTACTGCCTGTGTTTTCTTCACGGTTGCCTCCCAAGCCTTCATGATAAGATTAAATCCTTTTCTTCTAGTAATTTTTTCTTTATCTCGAAATGTATTTATGGTTTTAATTAGATAATAGCTGAAACAGGTTGATAGATTTTCATAATATTCGTCCTGGATGAGGAAATGCATCAAACCAGCTATTGTTGATCAGCCATGCAAAGACATGCAGATGATGAGATAGAGAATCACTCTCCTCTTTCATTATCTCTCTCTGTCTCTCTCTCTCTCCCTCTCTCTATCAGCTCCGTCTTGCTCGCTTTCTCTCTCTCTCCTCTCCTAACGTGCGATGGAATGAAGAAGAAAACCAACACAAACCAAGAACAATCACTTTCTTTGTCCATTTTTTTGACTCTTTATATATATATATATATATATATATATATATATATATATATATATATATATATATATATTATTACTTTTTCTTTAATTTAAATTTTTATAGTTTAAAATATTTTGAGTGGTACTTTACTAAAGTAACGAGTACAAGGACACAATTAATGTGAAGGTGTTGGTCCAAATTGGGACCTTGTAAGTCTAATGAATAAATGAATTACCAACATAATGCGGAAGAGATTAGAAAATATTAAGTAAGTAGAAGGAGCCAACTAAGTGGTAGATGCATTTTTTTCAAAGTGGTCTTGTTCATGTTCTATTACAGCTAGAAGCTATTAAATTTAAGGCTTCGTTATACTAGGAAGGATAAGCGTATTTAGGGTTATCTAATTTTCCGGGTTTAGAGATAGATTCTTTTTGTTTAGCTTGAAAATGATAATTACAACTAGATTTGATTTAGTGGTTCTAAAAATATATGATTTATTTTTATGCCAGTTGTTAGGCAGTAGATGTAAAGTGTGAGACTAGAAAATAAGATAGAGCTTGAAGATAGCGTGACAAGCACACCGAGTGGTCGAGAGTCCGGGTCTCGAGCTAGCCTATACGGGGCCTCGAGGTGAGTGTTGCGACCAAAAACACTCACGCAAGTGCACGTGATCGTCAAGTAATAGAGTAGTGAGTAGAGTATCGTTCCCACGAAGACTTGTGATCAACTATTGACTCATTCCAACCCAATTACTTTATCTATCCAAGAGATTCTTCACAAAATAAAGATGTAATTGTTTTACTATCTAAATTATCAAGAAATGATCTAACTAGAGCAATTAACCAAACGAATAGCAATTTCGAGTAACAAACAGTAGGAGAAGATATTCCAGGGTCACGGGCTAGTTAACAATCTTGTTGTGTTCTTGGCTTAAAATGACTAATCGATTTATCTGGGTTATTGCTTGACAGGGTTTATATTACTCAGAAGAATCTGTCGAGTTCTTACTCGCCTATTCAAGTTAACTCAATGCCTATATGTCTATGGAATTAAGATTAACAAGAACGCATTTACAATTCCTTTATTTCAACCAAGCAAGGCAATTGGGTATATGTCTATCCCAATTGCGAATCTGTTCCCCGAGGCCCGGGTTCAAGAATTTGCTCTATTTAATTCTATATGCAACCTAACGTTCCCACTTTCGAGTTCAACTCTAGATTCGTAGATAGTATTTCACTGTTAGCTGCTCAGCAAAATAATTAAAAGCAGAATTAAATAAACAACCCAAGATGATAAACCAACTTTGTCAAATTAGACCTCAAACAACACATTCATGTTTTACCCATGACCCTAGAACAATGGGTTTTAGCCACTCATACTAATGTTCATCACAAACAGATTCAATTTCATCACAATTAGCAAAAACAAAGAGAAGTAAAGAAGAACTTGATGATCCAAATCCCTCCTTGCCTCTTGCCTCTCTATCCCTTGCTTTAGCCTATGAAAACCTTGATAATCTGACCTTGGGCGAGCTTGACTTTATATAGGTTAAGTGGGTTTCTCTCCAGATTTCCAATTTTACCCCTAAATAACACTTTTTCGGACCGGACACGCGCGAGCTCGCGCGCCTCTTCGCGCGTTTCTTCGCGCATGATTCTGCCTCGGTCTTTCTAGCGCACGAACTACCGCGCGACTTTGCGCGTTCTTCGCGCGTCTGGGCTTGATTTTTTTTTTCTTCATTTTCTTGCCTCGTCTTTGCGCACTCAACTCCGAGGGGTCGTTTTTGCTCTTAAATCATTCCAATAGTCTCTTGAAGGCATCATATAAGCTCCTCATCCTGCAATGTATACAAACCACAATTAGAACCTATTTTTCATCAATTAACCGTATTATGTCATTGGAATATAATTAAGCGGAAGCATAAACAATAGCTAAATCACCTAGATTTCGCCTATTATCAACACCCCACACTTAATTCATTGCTAGTCCTCGAGCAATCAAACTATACTCTCTATAGAATCCTTCACTCAACCATTTCCCCTAACGCATTACACCTAGAACAATATACATACTTTACGCATAGCAGTGAACAATCCTAGCCTCAAATCCGACTCTCAAGTGCCATGCAATATTCACACTTCCTCAAAGTACTCTACACATAAGTCAAGACTTGCTTTTCCGTCACGAATCATATGCCCTCACAATCACATCAACAAAAACTGAATTCAATCCACACATTTGAGTCATATAGTCACATATATCAAGGAAAGTACTCACTCTCGCAAAAGAAGTCACATGCATGCAATTGGTACCATAAGCTTGCCCTTAATGTAAATCTCTACTAATGTAGGCTAGCTCGACCCGAAATCAATTAGGACTTTTTCATGGTTGTAATGTGGGCTAAGGGACGGGCAGGATATATTTAGGAATAGTGACTCAACCTCCTAAGCACTTTAACACATCACATGAGCAATTTTTAGCGCAAATTCTTCAGCCCACTTCTCATTCACAAACAAAATCATCACATAAATACTCCCTTCTTCTTTAAGCACTCTATTAATTCATACCCACTAGCTGGAACAAGACACAATGTATTCATCTCTCTTTTTCTCTTCTTTTTTTTCCAGTTTATTCTTCTTTTTGTTTTCACTTTCCGCTAGTGGTGTAATATTTTATGAAACAAATGCACCTTTCTTCCTTCTATTGGTTCCACTCAAAAGACACCCCTCACTTATTTCCTTCTTACTTCTTTTAGCGCTCGTCTCACAATTAAAGTGCTTTAAGAGGTAAAAGGATCAAAACAGGATCAACTAAGAACAAAAGGGTATAGCCTTGTAATGTGGGTGCCAAACAAAAGTCCATAGGCTCAAAAGGGTTAGCTAGGGACAAATTTTATTTATGATAAGCAATTAAGCTCAAAAAGGATCAAAGAAAGCCTAACATCATTTTTCAGACCGAGCATCACCTAAAATTTCGCTTCAACTCACATACCGGGCAAGTTCTAGATACAAGTACAATGCATGGACTACACAAACACTCACCACACATGGCATATGACTTATTCAGATCAGCTCATCAAGACGCTCCGTTACAAGCATTCAATTCAGTAACAAACATACAGATTAAGGCACTTTCAGTGAGATTCAACAATTACGACTAAGCGTTACGCTCTAGGGTCTATTGTGTTCAGGTGTGTCAACGCTATGGGTTTTCTTTTGAATTTTCTAGCTCGTAGCCCATCAACCTAATCTACAAATCAAAAGAAAAAGAAAAAAACTACCTACAAGCGGTTCAAATTAAAACCCTTGGAAAAGAACCATGGTATAAAGAAAAACCAAGGGGGAGTTGGTACACTACCTAAAAACAAAAATCTTTTTGGTATTTTTCCTAGACTAACTTCCCTCAAGAAAATCGTGTACAAAATCCGTCATCAGGAAGATCCTACAATTTTTCAGATTTTGTTTTCCGACTTTGTCCCTCAAGAACCCCGTCGAAAGGGATCCGTCGTCGGGACGGGCCATTTATCTAAATTAACAAATGATTCCTACTCCACATCATCAAAACTACTAAGTCAAAAAATGAGACAAAGCAAAACAAAACCAACAATCAATCGATAAAGATACATACAACATACAATGAAGAAATCCCCCACCCCACACTTAAAAATGAAGACATGTCCCCATGGCTTATAATTTAAAAGAGCAGTGAGGTAAAGAGACTTCCCTGGAGCTTCACTCTTGGTCGGAAACGGTTTCGGGGTTCACGTTGCACGCACGCCCCAAAGCTCGCAACCAACCCATGAACTTCTTTTCCGACTTGACTTGTCGGTGAGCTATCGCATCCACACAAGTGCCCAACTCAGTCATGGAGGTGCGCAGACCAGCCACCTCCTGCTCCAATGCGGTGTACCTGGACACTCTGGCAGTTCCTGAAGAGGACGCTGCTCCTGACGGTGCTGCTGGGGCTGGTGTCACGTCCATTTGGTCATCCTCGTCCTCCTCCGATGCATCAGAACCACTCTCATCCTCTCCTCCTGTCGCTATCGCTGGGGCTGGCCCCGTGGTGTTCTTGCCAAGTCGGATCTTGTGGTCTTTTTTTACCAGCCCGTCCACACGAGTATTTTCGGGCACCTGCACTTGCCTGCAAAGTTTAGTCACCAAAGAGGGGATAAAGAACCCATACTGGCGTTGGGGGCACCGGATAAACATCTCATCGTGGATCACTCTGGCCATGTCGAATGGAAGATCCTTGACAAAACACCAAATCAATGCAGCTCGGGGTCCATTCACCTACGTAGTATTTTTGGAGGGAATGAGGCGAATGTTAATCACATACAACCAGTTCTTCGCCTCTGGAGTTAGGACGGAGGAGTGGAACTTCTCTCCGTGTTCTAGCCACTCCACCATTTTGCCGGGTGCGCAAATTTCATCAAAGAAGCGCTCCCACTTGGCATCTGTTGGCTGTCGCCCCTACTCATAAAAGTCTGTATTGTCAGGCAGAGGGTCGGGCAATTGATATGCTGTGCGTATTGCCTCAATGGAGGCATCCACCGCCTTACGGCGCACTGTGACCACATTGTTGACGTGCTCTGGCAGATTGGCGTACAATTCTCGCACGACCATTACATTAGCCTCCCCAGGCTCATCAATGAAGGACTGCAGACCCCGCTCCATCAACTCCGAATACATGTGTGGGCAGCGTTCCTTGACCGAACGGAGGTCAATGCCCCTCTCTGGAATTGGCGTTTTGGTGGCCTTCTCCGTAAAACGGGTCTGAGCCGCAGGTGAGACAAATTTGCTGCTGTCACAGGCAGGGGCTGCCCTTTGGCGGCTTGAGGATGGACCTATGGCCTAGCGCTTTCTCGATGGTGCCATAATACCTGCACAATGTGAACACATTAGCTCAGCCCAACAAAAATAGTGTGAATTAATGCGGATACTCAGACTTCACACACAAAATTAGTCACAACTAC